CTTTCCCCTATCTCGAGCCTCGCCCCTGCTTAGCTACTAATAAGATATGGAACCTATGACAACCTGAAATTTCCATTCTAAACAAACTATATCAAGCCAATAGAAGTTAGAACAATTACAGTGAAATTCCAGACTTCAGGCATAAGTTTGGCAGTGTTTCAGGATTTACACTTAAGGAGATATTAGGAGAGTGGATGCACTAGGGTTTTGTGCAACACTGTTATTCCAATACTCTAGGATATTAGAGTTCATTCCGGGAATAAAAATATTTTCTGCCAAAAATCTCAGGACTATATATAGAAATCTGAGCCATATGCATTCATTAGTTACATTTCCAATTAGAGAAAAGTCAAATTCTCTCTCACGGATCTTTGGGTTTTTATCCCAAATCGTGAGTACTTTGATCTATTTGTATTATATAGCTTAGATTATGTTTTATAACATCAAAATCGGATCAAAACCCCAAGATTTGGGAGTTTACCGCCCAAGAACACTTGGAGAGTAAACTCCTTTATAAGGGCCAAAGTGTGCCCAATGTCCCTCAAAGCCTTGGAACTCAACCTAGGGACTAACATTACATGTTTTAGGCCACAAAATCATTAAGAAACAAAGGGTGAAAGTGAGTTCACGGCCAAGGAAGTTCTTGGGCCGTGAACTCCATTTTTATGTGCCAAAGTGCCCTAAAAACCTTCCTTAAGCCAAGAGACTAATTTAGACATGTACCTAAATGAGTTTAGGACTAGCAAACACCCTTAGAACACCAAGAGTAAGGTGTTCATGGCCCAAAAAGTTCTAGGGCCGTGAAATCCATAAAATGGTGCCAAATGGTGCTATAAACTCTTCCAAAGCCTTGTACAAAAGCTTAGTTTAGTTCCTAGTTAATTTAGGGCCTTGAAAACACCATAAAAATCCTCACAAGGGAGATTATGGCCGTAATCTCCAAGGGATATGGTCCCAGGGCCGTGAACATCAAGCAAGGCCATTTTAAGGTCTTAAACCCACTCAAACATTTGTTTAAGCCTAGAAGCACTTCACCACTTGAGTTGTAATAATTTTAAGCCTCATTTAGTGACCCAAAATAGAGTTTATGGCCAGGAGTTTACTCTCCAGGGCCGTAAACTCCAAAACATATGGTCTTTTGACCATAAACTCCCATACGAGGCCTTGCACTCCTTTGTTGCAACCCATTAGCCTCCTAGCACTTGACCAAAGTGTTTTCCTCGCATTAGAATGTTTATACATGTTTAATTAGTGTTAATATCACTAATTGTTTATATACATATTTCTTCATATGTAATTAGGATCATTGTGTGTGTCTAAAGTCTTCACTTGACACCAAGCACTTGTCCGATCCTTCCTTACGATACAGTCCGTTCAATTCCAATCACTTACAACAGGTGAGTTCATACCCCTTGATCAATGTTTTAAACTGTTTTTAAATGTTGTATGGGGGAGGATACAAGTAGAATTATGCTAATTATTATATCAATCACATGTGATTAATAAGCAGCATTCAAATGATTGGCTACTCATTAGCCGTTTTACCAAACAGTTTCCGTCAAATGTCTTTCATAAACACTTTATGTGTTTAAAACTCCTTATTTCACTGTACATTTTACTCTGTATATTACATTTCAAACTTATTTACAATTGTGTTTCAAACAAATGTTTCTTTATACTAAACCGTTTTATCAAACCCATGCCTTCAAAACCGTTTTATAGATCGACATCAAGTCGATCTTTTCTTAGAAAATATTTATGTTAAAAGGTTTTACAAAACTTATTTTATGCTTTTATATTATAAATTGCATGCCTATATATGTATAATTATATAAGAAATGTTTAAAGGACTTAGGAAGGCTATCCACCCTATTTCCTTTTTCTCGATATGGATGTGGTCTTGTAGGATATCGGGAACCATCCGAAGGTCGTTTAAATATTAGTTATATATCATGTGTACATATATAGTCATAAAGGTCCTTCCAGTTCATCCAATGCCCTTGGGTAGCAAGGGTATACATCCATGTCCATACGTACCAGTTATATTACTAGTAAGCTACCATATGGGTACTTTAGGAAGATACTAGAACTATTACTGGAACGCGGTATCATACAATGAGTCAGTTCATTCATGAGTCCATAATTGCTAGATAGAGAGAACGTATACAACTATACTAGAAGAAGAACATATACAACTATACTAGAAGAACATATACAACTATACTAGAAAGAGAACGTATACAACGATACTAGAACAAGTAACAATACATTACGTTTACATAGAGATTCTGTTATAAGCATGCCTATATATGTATAGTTACATAAGTAATGTTTAAAAGACTTAGGAAAGCTATCCACCCTATTTCCTTTTCCTCGATTTGGATGTGGTCTGGTGGGATATCGGGTACCGTCTGAAGGTCGTTTAAACATTAGTTATATATCATGTATACATATATGGACATAATAGTTTCCTTTCAGTCAGTTCAATACCTTTGGGTAGCAAAGGCATACGTCCATATACTTTTTCATGATTACGCTTACATGAGTACATATACATAAATACGTTAACAAAATTGTGATCCACTGTATCGAAGCATGCCTTAAATGTCATGGCCCGAGTTGTAGCCAGAGTCTCTTGGAGGGAGAGCGTGAGTTTGCGTATAGATCTATACTGGATTGACTATCCTACACCTTGCTGCTAGCTACAGCCGGACCTGCAGGTCTGCAGGTGCCAAACGTCATACCTATGTCGTTGTTACCAGTCAATAGTATGGTGCAATTAATCACATGATACCTTAATATAAATCTGGTTTAAGGTAGTTAGTACAGCAGTAGTTCCTATAATACAACACTACAGTACTACATTAATTTACCCTTTACATATATTTAGTGATCTTTTCACTTAAACATTAAATGTTAAAACTATATTTTGTTAATGATAGTTACACTTGGAAAATTACACACTTTTACAAGAAACGAACATTTAGAACAATTAAGTCTTGGTAGAAGACTACATTTAGAACAGTTAGGTCTTGGTAGAAGACACCCTTATTTAATAGTAGGAATCATAGGGATTTCTAGGGTTTTTCAAACATTTACAGTTGTTTTACAAACGTTTTCAATACTTACAGTTCATATACATTTTCAATACTCACAGTTCATATACAAACATTTTCTTACATACAAATTAAGACACTAAAATACTTATGATCTCACCAGCTTCAAAGCTGATACTCGCTTTCAAAATTACTTGTATCCTCAGGTCATCAATAGACAGGTACCGATGCAAGGTTTAGAGAAGATGGAGCTTGTTCAAGACTCATCTTTCATTTTGATTTATGTTTTAGTGTCTATTATAATTTGACAGAACACACTTGTATAATAATTATATTATTAATGCAATGGATGATGTTGTTGCTTGTTTACTACTTTACATTGTTGTGATACTATACATAACGTCCTCCTCCCCAGAACGTTTCCGTCGTTCTTGGTTTTGGGGTGTGACAGAACCCCGTCCATACTTTGCTAGTGATGAGTTATGGGAACTTTCCCACACTTAACCCCCTACCAGGTACATACAAGTATCACACATACAACAAGTATAACTAACATGCACATTCCTCAGGCTCCCGCCCGACATCGGACCTTGGTCCGGAATATCATACTGGCATACAATGCCTAGGGCTAACCCCCGAGTCTTCCTACTGATAACTACATGGGCCGACATTGTGGCCTTAGACGCATTCACGCAATGAGGAGACTCGCCTCACACTGCTGAAGCTCTTGCTGGTGCACTTCTAACTGCTAACTGATAACTCCCTGAACTACTGCTCCTCTAGTTCCATGAGCTACCAATATCAAATATGACACTTCATCCCAAACTATCCTCCATAAGTCAAACTAAATAAATTATGGTCAAAGTCAACCTTCCAGGTTGACCTTACTCGTCGAGTCAGCCTATTGACTCGTCGAGTTCATAAACTCAGAAACCCCACAACTCGCGACTCAACTCGCCGAGTTACCCCATGACTCGTCGAGTCCTTAAATCTCTAAGTCCTAGTCCTAGTCCAACCCACTGGGTTACTACCACCACAACTTACTGATTCAACTCGCATCCAGAAGAGGTTAGGGTTTGCGACCCGACTCGCCAAGTCCATGAACGACTCGTCGAGTCCACTTGTGTCATCTCCATTCTGTCGATTACAGTCCATTTCATTGCTTCCAACTTGTAGATCTGGACTCCTAAGGCTAGCATTACACGTAAAGTTGCTAACTTTATGTGCATGCAAGGTGCTATGAAGTTAGAACACTTAATCAAAGCCAAAATGAAGGTCTAAGCCATAAAATGGAGCCCTGGTTGGACAAAGCTGGCAACCCTGAGCTTCTAAAGCTCAAGAGTGCCTAGATTTCTGCTTGGGACGTCCTTGTCCCAAAGGTTAAGCTCCATGGAACAAAACCCTCATCAAAAGGGGACATAAAGAGATCTAAGAAACCATAGGTCAAGGTAGGAACTTGATTACCAGAAAATGATGAGGACAAAGAGCTACTTCTGGATCTACAACTTCTCCTTGAATCTTTCAACTCCTTTTCCTTCTTCCACTCTTCAAGAGCTTCTAAAATCACTCACAAATGGCTCACAAGCTCAAGGAGAACACTAGGGCTTCGAGGGTTAGATTTTGGACAGAGGAGGCTACAAAAATGAGGCTGAGCGGAGAGGAATAGGATCCTTAAATAGGGCACACGGACCCGATTTTAGGGTTTTCAAACCCAGACCAGACTCGCCGAGTCAGTCTTCTCAACTCGCCGAGTCGGCCACTTAATCCGCAACATGGGACCCGCTCCGACTCGTCGAGTTATTCCTTGGACTCGACGAGTTGACTCTTTGACTTAGGGTTTTCCTTTTCTTTCTTGGAACTGCTGGATTAGGGGTGTTACATTCACAATCACAAAATGAACTCCAAGTTTGTGATGTGTGGATTATAGATCATTCTATTCCACATATGCTTACAAAACTGTTCACTATTGAGAAAGAATGTGATCTGATAAAGATTCTGGGATTTACAAAGAGGGGTGAAGATGCTATGGAAACACAAGATGATAATGAAGAAGCTGCATTAGTTGTTTTCTATGAACCCAACTCAAAACACTTCACTGGTACAGGGATTAATGGGGAACATGGTGCATTATTTGTTAGCTTATACATGGAAACACTACTTCTGCTTGATCAGTTAGATTGTAGTGTCTTGTAGTTATATTGATTCCTCATGTTGATACATTGCATTTTTCATTATTAGTTCCTGTTTTGTCTATAGTTTTATGTGTTGGATTAGGTGTCTAAGCTTATAACTATTTTGGTATATACATGACCTGATTATGAGCATGGTACTTTTGGGTTGCCTTCACCATATCAACTAGTAGTATGAATTATGGAGAAAGAGGTTAATTATGGTTTATTAATATATTATAAGAATAATATATTAATTGAGAAATCATATTATTTAATTATTATTGATCGGAAATTAATTTGATGATCAAAAGAGACTGATTAAATTAACAGGGACTGATTATGTAAATCGGTAATATTTGTAGTTTGGGCTCATGTACCTTATTGGTATAGGGGAGACGAAATCTATATGAGAGTCTATAAGGATTTCGTCCAAGGCTTACCAAATAGGAGTCCATGTGTTGCTTAGGGCCTAAGGAAGAGAATTAGGGTTTCCAAGTTGATAATCCTAGAAGCCTCAACTATAAAAGGAACCACAAGGCTCCCAAAAATCGTCCCTTATGTTTTGAAGAGAACCTTAGATGTTTTTGAAGCCTCCTCCTCCCTCTCTTGTTCTTACTAGTGGCTAGTGGTGTTTGTGACTCCATTAGAGGTGCAACACTTGGGGCACTAGACTTTCAGAAGTCAAGATCAAGAAGGATTGTGATTGTTATTTGTACATAACAATCAAGGTAATGTTTCTAACCCTAATTTTGTGTCAATTTCGAAATTGGTATGCTAGTTCTTAGGGTTTATGCTTTGGATGATTATTTGCATGATAACTAGAGAAAAACCTAGATACAAAGCATTAGAGTTGCATGTACACCATAGAATTGATGTAATGTTCAAAACCCTTCAGTGGTATTAGAGACTAGGATAGTTTTTCTATTATTTTGATGCAAGAGTTAAATTTTTGAAGCTGGAAAAGTCTGAATTTTGATTCTGATCAGACTCACATCATGAACCCAGTCTGACAGCATAATTTCGAAATTTTAGTCTTAATTTTCTTTGGATAATTAGCATAAATTGTTTTATTCAAATAAAAATCAGATTTTCTGTTATGTTAATTGATATCATAATCAAAACAATGGTTAATTGTTGATTTAAGATAATTACTTGTCTTATAAGATAAATGTTGATTATTTGTAAATTGATTTGAATTATCTTGTAAGAAAACAAATTATGTGTTCATTCATTTCTTTATTTCAATCATGATTTCTTTCTTTTATAATCTATTCGATCCTACAGCGGAGGAGATTAACACTTTGAAAGTGTTGATTTCTAAAACAAAACATCCACCCCCGATCCATCTCTTTCTGAAACCTTCGATTTCTTATCCCTTCCCACCTCTTTATCACTCCCTTCCTTCTAATGGCCTCGTCGGAAAAAAAATCGCTCACTTCGGCTATGGAATTACCATATCAGAAATCAAATCCAAAACCCTATATTTCAATCTATTTCTTATCTATCTACCTTCAAGTGCTTCTTTGTAAATTAAATCAAGACACAGATCCACCATGGGTTATGCAAAAATAGATATTAAATGAAGATACTGATTTTAAATGAAAATACATGAATCGATTTGTGACCGTTTCTTGTTTATTCCTATTCGATTTGGGTATTTACAAATCAAGGACAAACAATTTGCACTCTCAACTTTAATGAGTGCAATGAAGATCGGTTGATATAGCTAATGCATTAATGATGACTCTTAAGTTACAATTTAGGAGGTTATCTACTAGTTGTGTGTGGATCATTAAAATGGTTATGTGTTGTGTATCATTAAAAAAGTTATCCACTAGTTGTGTATCATTAATAGGTTTAAGATCTAATATCCCAATGAATGGAAGGCTTTGAACCTAAAATGGATTTTGATAGCTATTTTTGTTCCAATTTATTGTTTTTGGAATTTTAATGGGTTTGATGGTCTCTTGTGATTTTGAAAGATTTTAGTTGTGGGATCTTGAATAAAAAGGAGCATTAAGAAGAATTTTGGTGTTGGTTTTATTTTCATAATGGTGGTCTTTGTTTGAGAGAGAGAGAGAGAGAGAGTTAGTTAGAGTTTATTTTTAATTTTAAATTACAAATAATAAAAAAATAAAAATAGAAAAACAATATAGTCATTTTACATTAGGAACCAAACATACAGGAAAACCAAATTGTATAAACTTTACTAATTAAAAAAATATTTTATTAGATAAAACAAATATCTAAATATTATTAAAAGAGAACCTTTAATTCACCAATGAAGCAATCAAGGCCCTTGATTGTATTTCAATCATATGATTTTCACAATTAGATCAAATTGATGACATCATATTCTCAAAATAGAATTCAAACATTTAATTTTAGAATCTTTAAATTTACCAATTACATTTCAAACACAATTACATTAAATTATGGAATCTTTAATAATAGAATCTAATCATATTTAATTATAGAATCTATTCATACTTTCAAAAATATATTTCACAATTCGGACATAATTACATTTAATTGTAGAATCTTTAAAATGAGCAATTGTGTTATCAATTAAAGCATATCATTCTATTTATATATGAGACATCGGTTTCTCCATAAATCTGGCCAAAAACATGAATAATCGCCTCCATCTTTCTCCTCTATTTTTCTCTTAAACCAGAATTCCCTAATCCTCTTCTTCTTCTTCTTCATGTCAATGGTTGTGATTCAATTGATGTTTTGTGTGTTCATAACAGAATGTAGCACCATAAGCTGGTTCCTTTTTCTCATGTATTCTTAGAATTTGCGTATTGCCACTTCCTTGCATCTCCAATTATCACATCTCTGTTTTGGATTCACACAAATCTCTACAAACGGAAGCAAGCATCTCCTTCAAGACATCTTTTGACGATCTATGTCATTATTAACCCTAATTAATATTGTTCATAATTTAATTCCATTATTTATAGTTTTTGGCTTCAAAATTTAAACCTGATTAGTTTTTTCTTTTTAAAAAAACTCATTAAATAAACATATCAATAATTATGTTATCTTTAATATATATTAAAACAAAAATCTTATGATATCATCTGAAACAATCTGGGTCATTGATTGCATTTCAATCTTATGTTTTCCACCCTTAGATCAAATTGGTGACATCATCTTCCCTAAATGGAATGTATTTAATTCCAATAAAAGATTTCCAATTGTCAAACAAAATTAACTTAAATCCATTGAAATAGAATGTATTTAATTTTAATAAATTTCCCCCTATTTTAAATCTTGAATTTTCGGTTATAAAGGTTTTAAAATAGTCAACTTTAATAACATATTACTAAAAACCATTTCAATTAAGACATTAAATATCAACCATTAATATAAATCCGTTTATATTAGCAAACCATTAATATAAAATCCATTTTTATTAGGAAACCATTAATACCAAAAAATCATATTCAAATTATCACATACATATACGATTCATCCTTGAATTTGCGGCTCACACTTATTTTCGATCGTTGCTTTTCTTCAGACCTTCTCCTACAACATCATTCTTATTGTTTATCACTTTCATCATCATTATCTGCTTCAAACCTTCATTGTTGTGTACTAGAAGGTCAATACCTTCTTTCGCTTTTTTATATTTTTTTCGATTATTTTTTGTTCCCGTATCAAATATACGTATCATATATATTTTGATATTCTTTGTCACAACTTACATGAAATCGATTAACATCATTCAGTCTAGATTAAGTCAAACAAAACAAAAATGTATAATTTTTCATATTAAATTCTTAACCTATTAACTTGGACTCGATACTCAACATCCTCTACAAACTGCAATAGCTATGTGATTTTTTTTTACAATTTATAGCAACATAATTACCATGAAAAAAGAACTTTTAATTTAAACTACAACTTAGTTTTTTATCGGTAACAACAATATACAACACTTAATATCAACATCATTTCCTACCGGTTTCTTTAAATATTAATACATAAACCATATCAAAAGTAGGCTAAGAAGTTAGAATCTAAACTAGGAATAATCTTATTTCCTTGAATATCATTTTTATGGTATTATAGAAAATTTTTATTTGATTGTAGAATCAAATTGCATAATTACAATTAACATTGTTTTTATTAAACTTTGTATGTAGGTATGAAACAACAATAAGTATATTTTTGAAGGAACATTGTTTAAAATAATTTGTATAATCTAAATACATGTTAATTTAGTTCATTTGTATACTTTCCTGTAACATTGGATTTTTTTGTCATGTTACATTCAAAATATGGGTTATTAGAACAGACACCTTAGGTGTTTGACGAAATGTCTCAAAGAATCTGACACAAGTTCTCTACGCTCACCTCACAACTATGTATAAATTTTGGGTTTTTTTTTTCTAGATTTTTAGCATCATTTGTTTTTTATGTTTACAATTTTGTAGCGTTACATGTTTTTTTTTTGTCTCGTCCTCAGGTTTTTCTATCTCTGATAGGGCTTCATTTTTTATATTTATTGTAAACTATCGATTCAATCTCATCCTTAGGTGTTTGACGAAATGTCTCAAAGAATCTGACACAACTTCTCTACGTTCACCTCACAACCATGTATAAATTTTGGGTTTTTTTTCTAGACTTTTAGCATCATGTGTTTTTTATGTTTGCAAATTTGTAGCGTTACATGTTTTTTTTGTCTCATCCTTAGGTTTTTCTATCTCTGATAGGGCTTCATTTTTTATATTTATTGTAAACTATGGATTCAATCTATGTCACTTTGTTATGACTTTTATTAGCGTGATAAAATTCTAATAAATTGTCCATTTCTTGATCTTTTAGAAAAAGATGTTCTAACTGGGTTATCATCTACGACCGTAGTATTCTATTTTGTTGATGAAGTGATCTATGATTTGGCCATGATGGTTTTTACGGATTATGTTTGGACTGATAATTGTTCTTGTCATCAAAAAAATACATCAAACAAAAAGTGAAAGATAATTTTTTAAATTAATAACATCATTTAACTTTAAAGGATTTTTTTCAACTTTGATGACATGTAACAGAGTTTTGGCTGAAAAAGAACAATTTTTTTCTTGATCTTTTAGAAAAAGATGTTCTAACTGGATTATCATCTATGACCGTAGTATTTTATTTTGTTGATGAAGCGATCTATGATTTGGCCATGATGGTTTTTACGGATTATGTTTGGACTGATAATTGTTCTTGTCATCAAAAAAATACATCAAACAAAAAGTGAAAGATAATTTTTTAAATTAATACCATCATTTAACTTTAAATGATTTTTTTCAACTTTGATGGCATGTAACAGAGTTTTGGCTGAAATTTTCAATTTTGTCGGCATATAACAGATTATGACTTAAATAATGATATTAGCTATCTGAGCAATCAGGTTTTTTTCGGTTCTTAAATTATTTTGCAGAAAGTTGTTCAATTTGGTATTATTGATCTCACAAAAGGCAAGTCTCATTAGGGATGAAAGTGGTTCCAAACCCGGACCGGATGGACCCCGACTCGGAAACCCGGAACCGGTTAATGAGATTTTATAGAACCGGAAACCGGACCGGTATATAGGAACCGGTTCTGGTTCGGTTCCGGGTAAAGTGGGTCTAGAACCGGAAAACCCGAAAACATTAGAGTGGGTAGGTTGGAACCGGATAAAGTGAGTTTAGAACCGGAAAACCCAGAAAAACCGGAATTTTTTGGTAATTACTTACTACTTAGTGGGTTGAACTTTGAAAATTTTCATATTGATATCCCGACTTTGGGGGACTCTAACTCATTGAATACGAAACCAAAATTAATAAAATTATAGTCTAAAATCATGTACAAACTGTAAAATACACTCTGGAAAAACCCTCTTGTCAATAAACGAATGAGATATGCTTGTGTTAATATTTTCACATAATACAAAATACAAAAACAAATAGCTGAAAAGTTGAAAATTTTCAGTTTTGATATCCCGACTTCGGAGGACTTTAAATCATTGAATGTTAAACAAATGACAAAATTATAGTATAAACTCATGTACAAACTGTAAACTAGAAGTTGGAAAAAACCACATGTCAATCCGACTTCAAACGAATTAGATATGCATGTTTTAAAACATTCACCGAATACAAAAAAACTGAAAAACTAAAAACTTCCAGCTTTGATATCTCGACTTTGGAGGACTGTAAGTCAATAAATATAAAACTAAAAATGACAAATTTATAGTCTAAAATCATATACAAACTCTAAACCACATGTTGGAAAAAACCGTATGTCAATTGGAGTTGAAACGAATAAGATATGCATCTTTTAAATGTTTCATAAAAACCGGTTCCGGCCCTAAAAGTGGTTCCGGTTCCAAAAACCGGTTCCGGTTTTTAGACCCGGTTTACCCGGACCCGATGGACCCAAACCCGGATTACCCGGAACCCGGATAAAGCTAATTTTTAAACCCGGAACCGGACCCGGTTCTACATATTCCGGTTCTAACGGTTCCTGTTCCGGTCCGGTTTTTCGGTTC